TTTTTTATTTTTTATTTTTTATTTGTTGATCGATTGATAGATTGATAGATTTTTAGTTGTATTTTTATTTGTGTTTTGTTGTTTTTTTGTACAGGTATCGAGCCAAACGGAAATCCGTTGCAGTGCTGCCCAACCCATACACCCATATTTCGATCCAGCACTTAGACGAGACAGAACCAACGACATCTGGTCAGTGGGCTAACGGGGGCGCTCACGTAACCTCGCCAAGCAGAAACCAGTCAGATGGTCACATTTCCTTAAACGGGTCAGTCGTCTCTTGGGAGCGTGATGAGAACGACGAGAGCGAGGGAGAGGAGATGGAGGGGAGGAAAAAAGAAAAGAAAGACTACGTAAACTTTGTGCACAAGCTGTCAAGTCAGTTAGAAACCGTCGGAGAGGAAGAGGGTGGTATGTACTCCGACCCTACCTATCTGCCGAGCCTCATCGGAAAGTCAGGCTCGATACAACAGTTGTCCACCAAGGGCATTGAACGCGCTCGCTTCGACTCCATGATGTATCTGCAGCCTGTGACCAACAACGGGGGGTCAAAGTCCGGCAAAGTGGCGTGTCCCCCGCGCCGTGTGCCTAAGGCCAGGTCCGAGTCGAACGTATCTGCCGGGGGAAGCAGCATCAGCAGTGTGACGTCACCGCTCACCGGGGTTTCCAATTTAAAGTGGCAGATGACTTTACCCATCACACACAGAGCCACAAGTGAAGACGATGACGGAGCAAAAGGAGAAGAGGAGAGTGATATCTACATTGACATGAATAAGACGAGCCCCCAAAAACGCATCTCTCTCATTCCGAGCCCGACAATTCATGATGAAATGGATAATAACGACGACAAAGAACTGAATGATTTGCCTTCTGCTCCTCCTCCTCCACCCTGTGGAGTTTCTAAAAAAGGATACATCAACTTCAGGAGGAAAAATGAACCTCAGAGAAAGATATCACAACCAGTTTCAGCGCTGTACGTGAATACACCAAAACGCCTTAACTCTGAGCCCAGCTCTTCGACGGCTGGTGAAGACCTCGAAAAAGGTACAGGCGATATGCAAAACAGCTCTGAACCTAACGACGGCGAAGGCGGGATATACCAAAACCCTGACGAAGCCACGTCTGGTTTCAAAACAAGGTCGATTTCTCTTCAGCAAGGCTCTGTGAAATACATGAACCACAATATGCTCAATCTTAAAGGCGAGGATTGCGTTAAATCTACGGATGAAGAAAGAGATACGTTGAATTCCGACAACGTGTTTGCCACTCTAGACTCCACCTCTCCTACTGACATGGAGGAACAGGGAGGGGTGTATCAAAATTTCTCTGTATTAGGAAGTGAATCTCTTACATCCCAATCACACGATATACCAAAACAGACACAACCAAACTGCAACAACCTTTTAACATCAACGTTTAAGTGCGTTCCGCAACACGATGATCTCAACGTAATCAACAACACAACACGACAGTATTCTGAAGATCTCAACATAGGTGGAAAAACACGAAATGATAGCAAAGATATCAACGCAAAAAGTAAAACGCTTCAGAATACCGAAACAGAGTCGGGTAAATCTCCAAAGCAGATTAAGACATTGCCCAGATCTCCCAGAGCGAAAACAACAACGGGACATGCTCGTCAAATACAAAGAAAACAGTCTTCTCCTAACATCACAGAAAACGGCATTCAACAAACGGGCACACCCCGTTTGGGAAGAAAGAATTCTGAGGATGTGGCAAGTGTACAAACTGATACAGAGGAGTCAGAGGTAGATAGAAATAAACTCAACAAGACCAAGCATAAGCGAGAGTTGGCGCCAAAAGTGGCTCTTGTCCCGATGACAAAGCCAAAGCCTCCCACAAAACCAAAACCCCAGCTTCCAAATCAGCAAATCCACTCAAAGGGAGGTAAGCTCTCGAGCTCACCCTCTGATGCCTCACTAACCAGTGAATCAAACAATTCAGCTGCAACTGGTATCGAGGCAGACTACGTCAACGCTGCTGACGTGACACCGCACACTCAGAACATCCAATCAAAACCTAACAAACTGACAGCATCTACGAATTCTGGCCAAAATTCCTCTCCCAGTCGTAGCCCGAGAGTGGCGACCAGAGAAGCAGCGAGGAAAGGAAAAGGGTCAACGACGAAAGATCTCAATACGTCAACATCGTCCATCGATTCAAACGAGACCCAGCAGTCGGCGCTGTCAAGAGCTCGGAAAATGGCGGCATTCGACAGCAACTCACACGTGAACACAGTGGGGACACTTGACATGGGGGAGCTGCAGAGAGCTCTGAAGTCGACTGCCAAGAAATAGGAATACCGAGTCGTGATGAATGCCATGAGCTTTGTCTGTGGTTCTTCGACAATTCTGGGAGGTTTGAGTTTGACAGTTACAGCTTTCTTAATGTGAATAATAATGTACAAAATCGTCTCAAGATTTGGAAGTAGAGCAATCATTATTATTTTTATCATTATTATTATTATTGCATGTATTAGTATTGTTATTATTATTATTTTTTTTATTAATAATATTATCCTTATTATTATTATTATCATCAGTGGCGGCTCGTGGTTTGTGAAATTGACCGACTATCATTCATATTGATCCCCCCCCCTTCCCACCACCCCACCCTACCTCAACCCCCCTTGGTCTTCCTCTCACCCCCCCCCCCAAAACTGCCCTCCCACACATATGCACACAGAGACACATTTTATCCATCTATCTTTCCTCTGCCCCCCCCCCTCTTTTTCACAAAACAACACACTCACAAACACACGTAAAGCCCTGGGAACAAGGTCCCCTTCCACTAAAAATTCTTATAAATAATGTTAATGTGGCTGATTTTTAGCAGTCTGTAGAAACAGAACCGAATTGCTACCACACCACTGACGCTGCTCCAAGCAGACCAAGTATAGGTAGATCTAGAATCCGAAAGAAGAGGCCTACAATGCACTTAACACAAAGGCCTGCCCATTGAACAAAGCAAGTACACAGCAATTTCTAATCACAATTCTATGTTAAGCACTAATTTTAGAATAATAAAGAGTCTTGCTGGGGTGAGAACGGAGAAGGGGGAAAAAGGGAGGTAGGAGGGGTGGTGGGGTCCAGACTGACAGCGAAGTGCCGTTGGCTCGTCAGCCCTCGATCAAAATTAAAATTTTTGTTCGTTACAATGCATAGATCTAATACAGTACTATGTTTTACGTACACACATGTCCATTAATTTTTAAGGGGTGATATTTTTTACTAGTGTAATGCGCATTGAGCATTTTTTAGAAAATAGAAAAGCGCAGCATAAAACTGTTTATTATTAATTATCATCATCTTCATCATCATCATCGTTTTGATCACTGTTGTTTTATTAGTATACTATTTTTTTCATTATTACTATTTTTATTATCTTATTGTACTTTTCAGTGCATTTGCTCATCCATCATCATTGTTACTGATTCGTTTATTGATTTATTTAAAAATTATATTTTGCTTTCTTGGTAGTAATTTAGGGGGTTTGGGTGGGGCAAAGATTTATTTCATCTCCTCAGTCTGTTACTCACCTGTAATTGTACCAAACTACTGTTCAATTTGTCACTTATTGAACCCTACCAATTGTTTATTTGAATGTTGTGTGTCTGAAACCGAATGAGATTGCTTCTTGTCGTCGTTTTGCATAATTTCGAAGCGAGAACACATTTAGTTGGCATTAAGCTGGTCATTGCTACTGACTGAAGTGTACTGAAGTGTTTGTAGGCCATTCCAAAAGGGGGGGGTGTATCAATATGTTCTTTTGTACAGTAGAATTGTAAATGAGCTGATTCATCAATATCATGTTCATACTGTGCCGGAAAAACATAGGGGGAACTGCTGTTTTTTCTTTCCTCATCCTTACTATCGTCATTTTCCCTCTACTTCTTTCGTATGTTTGTCGCTCTCTTGTGAACTGCTATTTCCGGGGTGTCTTGATAGACGAAGCAGACTTTTGGCTGTTGTGGCTAGAGAGGTGAGCAGAGTAGGCCTGATTCACCATTTGGACTTTTCAGTTGATATCCACCCTTTGGCGCCCTTATGATCTTATGCATTTGCAAGCGTCGTAAAACCTTACTAAAACTATTTTTAAAAAGCTGGTCTGCGCGTAAGATGGTCGTGGTTTGAATTCTTTTCACTTTCACTTAGGTTGGTTTTTGAATTAATGTTTGGGCTCATCAGCCATCACTGTCGGTTCTTTCCGAAATGAACTTAAGAGTCAAACCTCGTTTTAAACCAGCACCCTTGGGGCGAGTATGAAGTTGGCGGAACAGAGGGGGTGGCTGTTCAACGGAGTTCCTAAGAAACACGATTATGCTGTATTCTAAAGTGTCTTTTTGTCGGTCATACTACGTACATGCACTTGTTTTCAAAGCCGAGAGTCTTCTTTCTCTATCTCTATGCCTTACTCCTGGGAGAAAAATAATCCAGTAGTCAACCAGTGGGTGTTGTGAGCCGAGTGCAGTGTGTAGGCCTACCTCTGGCAGTCAGTTGGCTAGCGGTATGGCGGGGCAAATTTACATTAGTTTTTCTTTTAACTTGTTTTTGCTTTTGTTTTTAAATTTTTAAAATTTTATTTTCAGTATTAAGTTTTTAGCATCCACTAGATATAATTGAGGCTGAAGCCTCGTCAATTTTATGTAGCATTCGACCCGCTTTGAACTCGGCCCAAGACCGAAAAGTGGGGAACAGATACATGTATTGCACTTTGATCTTAGCCAAAAGGCCGAGAAGTGAGAAGCGATATGTAAATTTTTCATTAGTTAAATAGAGACCGTACAACTCAGACAGTTGGCGGATCATGGCGGGGTGAAGGCGCGCACAATATTTTTATATGGGCGCCCTTTTCGTACATTGGGAAAACTTGACGGTAAGCTGGACTGGCGTATAACGGTGGGCGGTACAACGAGGTAAGATAGTATATCAGAAGTCCTTCTTTGTGAAGAAAACGTAATACATGCAGTTTGGTTGAAAGGGGCGCAGAACTCAAAACATACTTTAGCTCTCCCATGTTTTTTTGTGAATGTGAGCGTTTGTGCTGTCTGTAATTGTTATGTTAGTACCTAATGATATTTTCTCTGTGATAATTCTGTAAATAATGTGTACTTTATGAAATTAAGTTGTCTTCTCAATAAACTTTATCAATGACATTCACTTTGTCTCCGTTACTCCTTCAAAACAAAAATATGAGTCAAAATAATACTGTAGTACATATTGTATGTGCTGATGAAGGGAATGGTTTTACGGATTGCGAACATTTCCTTGAACTTTAAAAAAGTAAGGTAGGTAGATGTTTTAACCCCCCCCCCCACACACACACACAATTAACACAATTTAGGTGGCTGGCTACTTCAACTCTGCTTGTTTCAACTGTCTGGGCCAATCTGGGTTGAGACGGATACCGCGTTCCAGCAGACAGAAGGGGTCACTCAACAATAACAAAAACCCCAAATCCTTCCCACAAGAAATCATTTCGTATCTTCTGCAAGCGACGATGAAGCACCAAACCGTTAGACAATATATTGGCGTCAATGTTTTTCTCGGAATTTTAACAAACAACTCTTTCGTGTTAATGCTACACATCAAAATTTAATTTTGGTTTCCAAAATGGTATTCAAAGGGGAAAATAACTTTTTTCGCAATACGACGCAGAATTAAACTAATTACTCATGCTTACCCATCATAGATGAAAACGTACTCATAGGCTCTTATATTTACTCACCATATAGGCCTACAAAATCATGGCGAATCAAGCAGGGTACTCAGTATGTTTACACACCATAAACAAAAACTTACCAAATTAGGTAGTATACTCATTAATCTTTAGATGATGAATGATAATTGGGGGGGGGGGGGGATGAATGTCGAAACAATGCACCTATGTCACAGAATACACTCACGCAAGTGAAAAAAATTTTTTTAAATAGGAGACTCATGTTTACACACCATAGGCAACACAAACACACACACACACACGCACGCACACACACACACACACACACACACACACACACACACACACACACACACACACACACACACACAAGCACACACGCTAAATTAAGACATGCAAAAGCAATCGGAATTATAGGCCTACAGGGGGACTCAAGTTTACACACCAGAGACAAAAAACAATTAAATTAGACTAGGATGTGAACGCATTTTTTTTACACACACCATTGAGTAGAGAAAATAATATTATGAACGCAGGAGAGTTGTGTAAAATGACATTAATTTCTACTACATGTTCTCAGAGTTCTGACCAGTGAATCAAATCTCAGGAAAGCTAGCTCTATAGCTTAAGCTATTCTACGTATAACGCATGTAGTAGAAGTAGTAGTAGTAGTAGTAGTAGTAGTAGTAGTAGTAGTAGTAGTAGTAGTAGTAGTAGTAGTGGTAGTAGTAATGGTAGTAGTAGTGGTAGTAGTAGTGGTAGTAGTAGTAGTAGTAGTGGTAGTAGTAGTAGCAGTGGTAGTAGTAGTAGTGGTAGTAGTAGTAGTAGCGGTAGTAGTAGCGGTAGTAGTAGTGGTAGTAGTAGTGGTAGTGGTAGTAGTAGTAGTAGTAGTAGTAGTAGTAGTAGTAGTAGTAGTAGTAGTAGTAAGTCACATTTCCCTATTTTGGTTCGTATTACATGTCTGTAGTTCTTCCATTCTGTAGTCTCTGTCTATCTGTATAACTTTCCCCCCGCACTGAATGAATGACCGTTATAATTTGTGTCTTTGTGGTTCCATTTACTCCGACAGCGACGATGACGCCCGCGCGCGCGCGCTCGTGTGTGTATGTGTGTTTTTGTGTGTGTGTATGTGAGTGTGCACGAGTGCGCGCTTGTGAGTATACGTATATATATACATATGTATATATACATATATATTTATATATATATTATATATATATATATATATATATATATATATATATATATATATATACATATATATATATATATAATATGTGTTGTGTGCGTGCTATTATCATTAATAACTCAGGACGTGTGAACCGTGCGAGCACTCGTCGTGTCGTAGTTTCTGACTCACTAGTCACATGTCAGTAATTACATTGCACATGTACTAAGTAAGACAGCTCGTGTCCGGAGTCCTAGGCCAAGGATGACACACTCTCAAGAAGAAGAAGAAGAAGAAGAAGAAGAAGAAGAAAAGGAAAAGAAAAAGAAGAAGAAGAAGAAGAAGAAGAAGAAGAAGAAGAAGAAGAAGAAGAAGAAGAAGAAGAAGAAGAAGAAGAAGAAGAAGAAGAAGAAAGAAGAAGAAGAAGAGGAGGAGGAGGAGGAGGAGGAGGAGGAGGAGGAGGAGGAGGAGGAGGAGGAGGAGGAGGAGGAGGAGAAGAAGAAGAAGAAGAAGAAGAAGAAGAAGAAGAAGAAGAAGAAGAAGAAGAAGAAGAAGAAGAAGAAGAAGAAGAAGAAGAAGAAGTATTATTATTATTATTATTATTATTATTATCGTCTGTCGTTCTTTGTCTTTCCCTTGTTCTCACTTTTCTTTGCTTCTTGCTTATGACGTTACTTTGTGCCTCATGGCGTGTCTGTCATTTGTTCATTTCATCCTGATGATTTGATGAGTTTCTAATTTAACTTTAGTCTTTAGTGGGTTTTTTCATTGTTTGTCTGAGAGAGAGCGATAGAGAGAGAGAGAGTGAGTGAGTGAGACAGAGACAGAGAAAAAGAGAGAGATATGAATTTATGAACAGACAGACAGACAGACACGCATGCACCCACGCCAACACACAGAATTTCCCAAATTATCGTCTCTTCCTCTCCTAACCATTGTAGGTATATTCCATGTTGAATGCTTTGAAAGATATAAATAATATAAAAATCGATTGGACTTTGTAAGTTTTTCCATTGAAGCTTTCATTTGTTACGAAAACTGGGCGGTAATTTTTAGCCAGTTGACGTTCGTCTTTTATTGCTAAAAGTGCGCTTTTTTCTTTTATTCTTTTTTTGGGGAGGGGCACATTCCCCAAAAGAGCTTTGTTTTTGTTTGGGTTTCCCTTCCAGGTTTTCGGGAAAAGGATATATTTATTAGTTTTGTTGGCTTTTCCTCAAGGACACTTGAGGCTAAATTTAAGATATGACAACACTCATGCCCACACAATGACGGACCCTCAAAAGACACTCACAGTAACGTTACAAGAGCTTAAGCAGCATTCAGATACGCGGAAGCATACATTAAAACCCCACTTACACAGAAATATAACAATGGGGGTATAAATGTGTCGCTTTTTGCCTTGGAGTGCAGAAGCTGCAACTTCCTTTCCCACTTGCTGAAGTTACTTTATCAAATATCTCCGTCTGTCAGCTGGGATGTCGTTGTATTCTACTCAGTCTGGATTGGCCCCAACAGGCATGGTCAAAGCATCCTGCCCTCTATAATATCTACATTGTGTCAGTTATGATGGCAAACCGAAACAATAAATCCCTCTACAGCAATTACACGAACAACTCAAAATGGCATAAACTCACACACACACACACACACACACACACACACACACACGAACGCACACATTACCAGCATAAACACATACATGCATATATACGCATCCACACACGTATAATGCAGCACAAACATTAAGCATACACACAAACAATCTCACAAACAGACAAAAATAGCCTACACACTTAAACTTACACATCACAAAAGTACCGTACTGAAGATTCTAAAACTCCTCAATATTTTATAGAAAGAAAAAGCCCAGTGAAGACAATTTTATATCATGTTTTAATTAAATCACATTTATTGGTGAATAAATTAATTAATTCATCCAAGCATAAGTATTTCAAGGAGCTGTAAATCTTTTTTTTTAACTACACAAACAAATAATAAAGTACATGAAAAAAATCTGTTTATTAATGTTCCACTTACATTCCATTCTTACCACAACTATAGCAAGAGCCCATGTCAATAATGTAACGTCCTCATCCTCCTTTTTCTTCCTCATCCTTTCAGTCTTGCTCTTGTTCTTCTTGGATGCCAACTAAACCATGAACAACTCTCTAATGCTCTTAACTTTGTCTTTCGTATTATTATATTATAATTATAAAGTATTTCCCAAAAGCGATGTTTGTTTTAAGCTAAACTGGCCCAACAGATGATGTAACTGCAGGGGTCTAGACTGGTACCGGTATACTCGACATCATGTGAAATCAGACGAGTGGATTCGCCTCCTCAGTACTCACACAACAATAACTCATACTGCTGGAAAAGAATTTGATTTTCACATGAGGGGATAAACTAATCGAGCATCCCTGTCCGTCTGCTGGGATGCTGTATCCTATTTAGTCTGCTGAGTTGGCCCAGGCAGGGTTGAAGCAGCCCACCCCCTACATGATTTAAATTGTGCTGACAGGGGCTAAACCATTAACAATCAAATGACAGGGAGGGAACAGAAACAGAAAGGACAAACCCTCTTTAACCCTATACGTACGCCCTGGGGTTATTTTGTACCCCGGGGGTGTATTCTTCACATTTTAGAATACTTCTAGGGCAAAGATCTCTCTGAAACTTTCAATATTTCTCAAAAAATCATTTTGACCGACTGCTATGCAAAGCGTACGGATCGGATTAATGAGTTAATTTCCTCTTTGGAAAGTGGTGGCATAGAGTTCCCCAAATCGTATGGATACGATAGTAAAACACGACGTACGTAGAGGGTTAAATAAACCATCTGATTCCGCTTTGCAAAAATCCATTCAGTTTGAGCCGAGGTCAAAGTCAAAGAAGAGAATCTGACCACACAACATAATAATTAACAAATGAAAATCACAATGAAAAATTCAAAAACTCATTATACTTATTGAATTACAGCCTATAGCAAGGGCACTGCTTCCATACTTTACTTTCAAAAACTATGAAACTGATTAAAGGACATCCCTTGTAAAATAGCATACAATAGCAAATGTATCAAAATCTGGAGTGTTCTGAACTTTGAAAAATTTGACAGTCTCAAAATCGGAAAATGTAAGTTTGATTGCTTTTCTATTGCATTGATATAATATAATAATATATTATGTAGTAGTATAGAGCATATATTATTATTATAACTATAACAATGGAGAAAGATGTAATTAATTGCCAGTAAAACACGACGTACGTAGAGGGTTAAATAAACCATCTGATTCCGCTTTGCAAAAATCCATTCAGTTTGAGCCGAGGTCAAAGTCAAAGAAGAGAATCTGACCACACAACATAATAATTAACAAATGAAAATCACAATGAAAAATTCAAAAACTCATTATACTTATTGAATTACAGCCTATAGCAATAGCAAATGTATCAAAATCTGGAGTGTTTTGAACTTTGAAAAATTTGACAGTCTCAAAATCGGAAAATGTAAGTTTGATTGCTTTTCTATTGCATTGATATAATATAATAATATATTATGTAGTAGTATAGAGCATATATTATTATTATAACTATAACAATGGAGAAAGATGTAATTAATTGCCAGTAAAACACGACGTACGTAGAGGGTTAAATAAACCATCTGATTCCGCTTTGCAAAAATCCATTCAGTTTGAGCCGAGGTCAAAGTCAAAGAAGAGAATTTGACCACACAACATAATAATTAACAAATGAAAATCACAATGAAAAATTCAAAAACTCATTATACTTATTGAATTACAGCCTATAGCAAGGGCACTGCTTCCATACTTTACTTTCAAAAACTATGAAACTGATTAAAGGACATCCCTTGTAAAATAGCATACAATAGCAAATGTATCAAAATCTGGAGTGTTCTGAACTTTGAAAAATTTGACAGTCTCAAAATCGGAAAATGTAAGTTTGATTGCTTAAATTCTATTGCATTGATATAATATAATAATATATTATTATTATAACTATAACAATGGAGAAAAATGTAATGTAATTAATTGCCATTAAAAAATTATTTTTTTTAAAATAGCATATGTATACATTGTAGCGCATATCCTCCCTCGACAGCAAGCTCTATGCACTTTACACTGTATTAAAGTGACAACACAACAGAATCAGGCCCTCATCAGTTTTTTGGGCATATAGTTATTGATATAATCTTAAAGCAGGTTCATTTGCCTTGCTTTTCAAGAAAAAAGATTATATCCATTTATCTAGAACAGAAGTCGAGATATTCGCAATTGGAGGACGAGGGGGTTCATCTGGGGTCGGAGGTAACATTTTTGACAAAATGGCAGCCAAAGTTTGGTTCCTTCCAAAGCTGTAGTGTCCTTAGAAACCAGAAATTAACATTTTTATGGTTTGATCAAAGTAAATCTATAAAGGTCACACAGAAATGTATTCTTAAATGGACCTTAAAAGTGTTGAACCAAAAATTAAAATTTGAAAAAAAAATTGTCCAACAGCCAGAAAAATGGCGATTTCTTCCATTTTATTATTTTGATGAGCGCCTGATTTCACCACGATGCCTCATATTTTGTTCTTGAGGTAGACAGATAATAAAGTAAAAAAAAACTTATATTGCACCACTTAGCACTAGAATTGAAGTCAGCTCGAATCAACTGTCCGTACTACGAGAGTCAATAGTGATGAATTTCCAGAATCTATTTGTTGTCTGTAGACAGGCTTGTATTTTGCGATACAGATGCCAATTTTGAAGACCCAAAGGGCTTCTCATCATACCATAAACAAAGGAAATGATTTTTGATTTTAGAAGAGAAAAACCAACAATCCCACCACTCGTAATTGAACAAGAAACTATTGAAATCACGGATTCATACAAATATCTTGGCCTTACAATAGACAACAAATTTACATGGCAAAACCACGTAAACAATATCGCTAAAAAAGTAAATCAGAGGCTGTACTTTCTGAGGAAACTAAAGTCTTTCAATCTGAATCCATCCATCCTTCAGATTTTCTACACCACCACAATAGAAACTTTGATCAATTTTGGAATCACTTGCTATGGTAGCAATCTGGGAAGGCAGCACATTATAAAACTAAATAAGTTGATAAAAAAGGCATCAAGAACAATTGGTAGAGACCTAAGTAACTTTGAATATCTGCACAAGACAAACGTTCTAAAAAAGGCGGAAATAATGCTTAGTGACCATAGCCACCCACTGACATCGGAATTTCAACTATCGACCCGCAGTAAACGATACATTTCCAAAAAAGCAAGAACAGACAGATATATATAGAAATTCATTCGTACCAACTGCAGTGAGGTTACTGAACACACAGTGCTACAAATGAAACAGAGAGAGAGAGAGAGAGAGAGAGAGAGAGAGAGAGAGAGAGAGAGAGAGAGAGAGAGAGAGAGAGAGAGAAAGAGAGAGAGAGAGAGAATGAATGTGTTACGGAGCGGGTTGTCCCAGCCCGTGAGACATGTATTTACTTGGCATAATGTCCTGTCTTGTTGTGCGTTTGCGTGAGTGCACCTTTAAGTCTAACTTTTGTAACGTCTACTGCCATTGTTAACGACCAGGACAAATTTCTCCCTGCGAGATGAATAAAGATTGTCATTGTCATTGTCATGATACTATGGACAGTGTTCAACCAACTGAATTAATTGAATTGACCTAGAGACTTGAAGTTTGAAGCTTGTGTCTCTGACTGGGTTATGTGAGTACCAGCAGAATTGCTACCAGAAAAGAGGCTTACATTTACATAGCACCATTGATGAAGTGTGAAAACTTATATAAAAAAAAAATACAAAAGCAATATTGGATTTCAAATTTTTGGTTTATAAACATCAAATTTTAAAACAGATGACCCGTATACATTTTCTCATTATAACAATATAGAGCCTGTAGCTATAGACTTCGGCAAAAATTATATACAATATTATATATAAATGGTTGCCAACTTTTGAATCTAAAAATAAACTCTATCCACTCGGCCCATCATCTGGGTAGGTTTAGGCCAATTAACACTTTCTACAAACCTATCACACACATTTTTCTGCATTCAATAAATAACGGTAACCCTCACAACTCTACAATTGACATAGAGCTATCAGTTTCATTTTCATTGTTATTCACAAATCGGATATCAAAACTTCATAATTTTTCTTTAGCATTGGCAAATCCATAAAGAGCGATGTTATCTAGAAAACAGACTACCCATTTTCATAATGAAAACGGACTTCCATCTCAGACTCTGAAAAACTGTATAAAATAAATTTATTTACGTACTGGTTGGCAGCTATTATATAATATTTATATCATATTATGTAGGTGTTCATCAGGGCAGGTTTGACCATATTTATATCATATCCATTCACCTGTCAATATTGTTGTTGTCCTATGAATGAACCAATCGCTGACAAGCATGTTGCGAAGACAAGGTTTCTGGTCTCTCTCGCTGTTAACCCAAGTTGACCAGTCAGCAACATTTAAGTGGGCCTTACTGAAATTATCTAAGCCTGTGACTGCCTCCAGTTGGGACCTCAGAAGGAAATGGCTTGCATTCTTAATTTTGATCAATCCTGCTTAAGAGAGCCACCTGTCTAGGACAGCCACTTGTCTCCACGACAATGGGTAGAAGTCTTGGACAATTTTGACTGTACTTTTCAGCGAGTATCTCTGTCTGTCTATCGGTATGCTGCATTCTTCCCAGCCTGTGTTGGCTCTGATGGGAGAGGTTGAAGCAGCCTACTTCTTCAATGTTCTAAATTACTTTAATAGCAGGGTAAAATCATTTACAATCAATTACTCTATAATCTGCTCAGGCACCTGTGGTCTGCGTAACTGGGACAATAGTATGTTGTCTGAGATAAAAATCTACATTAACAAACAAAAACTATTTGCTAAAGGAAAATTTCATACAAGGTACATACGAGCAATAAGAATATATCTCAATTATAATTCAAGATCTCTTCGTGTTCGTCAAAGAGAGACAGACGACAGCCACAAAAGTTGACGACACAATACTTCACTATCTCCTGAGCTGAACGTTTGTCACAAAATGTGACATTCCCAAATCGCTTAAATGCCATACACCAAAAGGGAGGAAAAAGGCAGCAAAGATATCACCAACAATTTTATATCACATTTGGGCATTAAATCATTTTGGAGTGTGCACAAATTCAATCATAAAATCAATAACATCTCAAGGTGAAGGTCTTAAGTTTAAAAATCACCACAAAACATCTTTTTTAAAACTTAAACCTTAAAAGCTCTGAATATTAAATCTTCTGTCAAATGTACATATTCAATGTATGATTGGGGTGATGTAGGCCTATAAATTTTTCATATCTTCTTCAAAGTCTTTTCTGATCTGAAGGAGCAGCTCTGGTTTCTGGAAAATATCGAGAGCCACCATAGCTAAAGCTTTCCCCTGGGCAATGGTGAAGCTCTGTGCCGTCTGGGAACCTGACAAACAAGAAAATAATTATGTTATGTTCTTATCATTACAAGTTTGTTTGTTTGGGTAGAGAGAAGCACAATAACGGGTTATTTATTGCTGGGGAAAAGTAAGTACAGCAAAGAGAAACAATAGAGGGAGAGAAAAGAAGTAGGACCTGCCAAAGCCGCCCTCCACCTACCAGCAAAAATTTTATATATATGGCTTGGTAAAGGGTAAAACTAGGTGTGTGTGTGGGGGGGGGGGGAAGACTTATTACAGACAAAATGTAATTTCAAAAGAAGTGCACTAGGCCAAGTGGTGTGAGTAAAAATGAAGGAAAAAGGAAGAAAAGCAGACAAAGAAAAAAATCAAGAGAGTCAATATGACAAGTGTATTTCCAAGCTCAGATCTGGTTTCTCACAACTAATAAAAACCTTTTGAAAAAGCAAAGATACTCAAGAACATTAATTCATGGAAAAGCCAAACATAATAGCGCCGTGATCATCATCATTGCCATTCTCACCCCGGTATAAGCCACAGACAAACACTTTCTGCCTTTCCCTTGCCTGGGCTAGCTTCTTAACATTGCTCCCCGTGTTTCTACTTTTCTGTAGATCATTCTCTTAATTAATCATTGTCTAATATAACAAGATTTCCCATAAACATTCATTCTTTACAACCGAATTTTGGAAGGAATTGCTTGAGATCCCACCAAAGCCAATAATTTGCCAAGTATCAAAACCGAGCCATGTGCAGTTAGCTTAGACTGCTGGTGAGGTCAATTTTTGGGGGGTGTGCCTGTGGGTCTAAAGTATATCTACATGCAGAAGTCTCAAACGAGAGCATTTTCTGAGGGCATAATTTTGCAACTACGCCATTTGTTATCAATACATTTTGTGTGCATGTGACAACCAACAACTCTGAGGCCCCATAGCCACCACATTTCAGAGGTTGTACCATACTGAAAATGCTGCCAGTGTGTAAAGCAGAAGCCATCTTATTATTTTGTTTCCGGAAATAAGAGAAGTACAACAGCAAATAACAGTCATTTAGTGCAGGGAAAATAGAAACAAGTAGGACTACCGCCACTGGTGCCCTTCAACCACCCATTTATACTTAAGTTACTGGACAGAAGGTTGTTTATTTCTCTAACTATGAAAATAGTTTTGGCAAATGCTACATACTCCTTCTAGGAAACATATTGTAGAAATAACTCTTCCTTCGTCAAAGAGGTTTCCATAGTTGTGCCAAATTCACACAATAACGATATGCTACTGGTTCATGGAGTTACGAGAAGCCAGTTATCAGACTCATTTGATCAAATAACATAGACATGTTATGTTTCAAAAGAATAAAGTACACAGAAATATAAAGAGTGGCATCATGGTGAAATCAGGTACTCATCAAAATAATGAAATTGAAGGAATTGGATTTTTTTGCTTGTTAGGCTATTTTTATCGAATTTTTTTTTTTGAGGTTCGATGCCTTTTATCTCAATTGAAAAAAGCATTTCTGTGTAGATTTTACTGAAAAATGGAAAAAAAGCACAAAAATGTAAATTTGTAGTTTTCAAACACACTCAAGCTTTCGAAATCAGTTAACTTTGGCAGCCATTTTCCAATTAATTTTACCTCTGACACCAGGCAACCCCACCTCTTTCAATTGCAGATATCATGACTTATGCTCAAGATAGACGGGTATTTTTTTCATCAAAAGCAAGACAAATCAACAAACTTTAAAGTGATGCAAGTAACTCCATGAGCCCCAAAATTGACAAGCGCCTTGTTCCACCGAGTCATCCAGTGCCAGATCTGTGACAGACATCGGCGATCATGGTTTTCATTCATTCCTTTGCTTGGATGCTCTCAAAAAAGCTACCTTTCCCTGATCTTTCCCTGTTACCCATTATTTTAGTTTCCTTAAGTACGTGGTCCTGGGCCTACCCCTGCCTCGCTTGCCCTCAATTTTGCCAGTGAGAGCTAGATGTTCAAGACCCTTATGTCTATTCAGGTGTCCCAAAAACTGCATTTGTCGTTTCCTGATTGTTTTTAACATTGATCGTCCCACGTGGGCTTCATCAAGCACTACCTCATTTGATTTCTTTTCCTTCCATGATACTCTGAGCAGTCTCCTAAGAAACCACATTTCTGTTGCTTCTATTTTATTTTCACTGTCTTTAGTGATTGTCCAGCATTCACAGCCACCGAGTCAAGACACATATATTCACAAAACAATTCTACATACAGTAAAACGTTACTGTTTTGCAGGCAGGGGAAATTATACTACACTGACAACAGATCATAGGTTGGCACGGAAAGAGTTAACTAGATCGCGACCTCAGCGCTTTCTCGTCGTATCTCCATTTTATTTTTTACATTGAAAATGAGACTTCTTTTTAAGCTCACACTTTGTCATGAACTGTTTTCACTGTTATTAAAAATGTAGATATGACAAAAAAGCACTGAGGTGGCAAGTTGTGTGTCATCTCAATTCCATGTTTCCTCACTCACCTGTAGCCGTGGTAAACTCATGCGTGTGATTGACAGCGTCAGTGCCAATGTCGTAGGTGGGGTGCAGGGACGGGATCCGGTGGCTCACATTGCCCATGTCTGTGGAACCCAACACCTGTAGAGATGACGGGGTGACGAATACAAGAATTATGAATTAAGGTGAAGAGTGGGGAGGGAGGGGGAGGGGGAGGCAAGACAGAGGAGATCGTGAGGAGAATTATGAATGAGGGGGCAGGGAGGGAGAGGAGGGAGGTGGAGGAAGAAGTGAGGGGATGGGCAGAAAGTTTTGCTTGTGTTTTGGTAAAAGTTTTACGGAGTTCACAACTGCATAAGGTGATAGTGCTCTAGGGTGAACTTTTTGGTGGTTTTTACGCTAGTTCCAAGCTCAGTTGGTTCTACTGTGGTAGTCAGTGTGTGTAAGG